ACAAGTTCTCGCAAATGACAATGGCGTCTATGGGAGAAAAGTGCGCGGGGTGTTCGAACCCCGTAAAACAGGCGACGTGTCGCGGTAATAAAGGGGTACGGTAACCGCGAAATACGGGAAGATACCGCGGGGAGGGTCGGCCATTTTGAACGGGGGTGAGGACGCCATAGGGTGAGAACAATGCCGGTACATGACGTAGGTAATACAATATGGCGGATAGTTACGCGTATCATTATCCCGCGGGATGTAGGGGTAATGCCATCAAGCTTGAGTGCCCCTAAAAACAAAGAAAAATACAAACGCAAATGTCTCGATCCTCTCCTGCTTCCTGGGCGACGATAAGCTCGAATTAAAAGAAGAAAAAGAAAATGGTCCCAGCGGGGATCGATTCTTGGACCAAGTGCGGCGTGGTCGAGAACGTTTCTATTAATTTCCAAAATAATTCAGGTCGGTTTTCAAGATTTCTCCGGGTGTTCCGGAAAACGTGACGCAGTCAGGGTGGAAAAATAAGGGGGGCATCGCCACTTGTCAATATTGATCCACCTCCGTTTTCCCCTATTAATCATTGCCGAGGACCAAAATGGCCGCCTTTAGAATCCGAAGAGCTTTCTCTCGTCCTCTGAACAGGGAGTTTCAATACTTTTTTCATATTTCTCCCAGGCGATTCTCGTTTTGGAATACTTGCAATAAAAGGCTCGCTACGTGGGGGTGAAGGTGGAGGTTTTTAAGTCGAAAGGACACGCGGTCCCCGCCCCCTGCCCCCCAAGCTTCACCTCCAGCTATAGCGGCGTGCAGATTAAATTGGGTAGCCATCTTACGGTGAGGACTGAAATATTAATTTGCGCCGTTGTGCGGGGAGGGCTTTTCAAAAGCAAGCCGTTTTCAAGAGCCCCGTGATTGTTGTTACCGCCCGGCGACGGCTTACAAACATGTTACGGGTTGGTAATTATATTTACCTTTTCAGTTTTATTATTTACAGCCCAGAGGAGGTGACTCCCACGCCGCCCCTCGGCCCGCGCCCTCTTTCCCGGGGCTCGCATTAAAACGCACCACCCTAATCATTTCCCCGACCTTTTTATTATTTCCCTTTGACCTTCGCCGGGAGATTAATATCCCCGAACCTGGGGAGGCCCTCGAAGGTAGGGAAGATTTTACCAACGGACGAGCAGTTAGTGGCAATTTTTAGAAGACGAAGGAAATTCCGAAAATCCCAATAATTACGATCTTTTCGAAGGATTCGCGGGAGAATTTTTCGGAACACTTACCTCTTTTCTACGCATCGTCACACATGATTTCGTAGGTGGTGGCCCCCACTAAGGTCGCGAAGCCAGTCGGAGATTTCTAAAATTCCTTTAACGAGGTCCCTTTTTAAGCCGAGCCGCGTCTTTTGAGCTCTCACAATAAATTCGAGGGTCGATGCAATTTCTGGAGTGGTCGATTACGTTTCGTGCACCCTTAGCGTCGCGAGCCCTCGAGGCCGCTGCACGTCGACTCACCCCCGAGGACCCCGTCATATGTGGATATATTATTACATGTATTCACCCACCCCCGCCATCACCGGCCGCGCTGCCACCCACCGCCACCCGCTCCCAAGCGTTCCCACCCCCAACCACCCACCACCCACCACCCACCGGGAGTTGGTCGAGAGTACCGCAAACGTAAGCGTAGACGCTTTCCAATGCATCCCGTTACGAATGTACGTAGGGGGCTCCCAGGTTCGTGGGTGCCTCCTCGAGAGGGTGGACCCACCTCTCAGGGGGTGGCGCCCCACGTATGAGCATTCACGTATGCCGGAAGTTATGTATTCCACGTGATATGGGCAAGTAATTGGCCCTCTTGATCGCCGAGTTCGTTCGCCCGGTTCTCCGGGTGCCTCTTTCAATACTCCTATTGGCCGCCCTTCAAAAACCACCCCGATGCCCTCTTTCGGCGTCCCTTCCCGTACCGACATTTTCCTGCCTTTACCAGCGTTCCCTCCCTTTCTTACCTACGTCCTTCCGCCCTGCTGGCTTCCTTCTCTATCGCCGCTTTTATGCTCTTTCGGATTTTTTCCCTCTTCCGCCGTTCGGGCCCTCGCTACTTTCCTTCTCTCGTTTGCCAAGTGGCCGTACTTCGAGGCTTTACCTCCCTCTTTCCTCTTTTTCGACAAATTTATATTTACCTATCGAGCCGGTTACCGAATATTCCGCGGTTCGAGGGCGTTCACGAGGGAGGACGAATTTTCCGGAATATTAATATTTCTTTACTGTTTCAGAAAATTAGATGGATTAGAAAATGACTTCCAAGTGAAATTAGTTTCCCAATGCCCCCACCATTTTGGTATTACCGCCCTTGGGAATAAGTTACGTCTCGCGTTCTCCAATTACTCCGAAGTGGTCCCAATTCTGGGAGCAGAAGTCGAGGAAGGGGCGAAGGGCCCGGCGTGCCGAATGGCCGGCATAAATTCCCGAACTCTAAAGGGCCTCGTGGATTTTTAGTGGCAATGATTTTCGCGGGAACACGACACCCGCCCACGCGGTACTCCCTTCTACGGCTCGCTTATTTTTGGGACTTATTCCCGCACCTCGAAGTCGTTTTCCCTCGGGATTGCCCTCCTTACAAACGATCGCGTGATCGGGACAGGGATCCTCCCATGCCAGGATTCGTCCTTTCCTCCCACACCTTTCCGTCTTTACCGATCAAAACGGACAAAACGACCCGCGGCTAAAAATTCGATAAACGCTGTACCGTTGAAAACAAGCAATAAATTTGTAATATCATGTATCGGCGGTTTTATTCCCGGTCACGCGTTTGCATCGTCACGGTCGGATACGGACTCGAATTTCTCGGCGGAGTTCCATCCCGCTAATCGTTTCGAATTAGGCTCCCATTGACGGGCACGGCCAACAGGACCGCGAAGAAAGCTCGGTGGAGACGGAAGATCAAAGATCCAATTTCGGATCTTTCCGAGGAGAGTTTAGGGCATAAGGCCGCCGGTCGGTGGACCATTTAAACGGTCCATAATTGCCCGGGACAGGGGAGAGGAAAAAGGGTCCAGGAGATGGAGGCAAGCCAGTTTTGGCACTTATTTGCCTTTCGCATCTCAGTTTCAAATTAGGGATGCTTTTCATCCGGCTGACGTCTGCCCCGCCCCTGCGGAGCTCCCGCGGTAGCCGGGACGTCCGGAATCCCGGACGCGGTCCACCGCCGTCCGACCAGCACGGGGACCAGTTTGCGATCCATGGCAGTCATCGCAAAGGACTTTCTTTTTCGGTGATCTAGGACCAACCGGGACCAGCTTGCGATTTTTTTTTTCAACGATCCAGGACCAACGCGGACAAGGATGGAAGATCCATCCGAAGAATCCCTCTTCCGCGTAGCTCGCCCTATTCTCGTCCCCGTCGCGGTACAGCGCGGGGTTTTAACATGGTTCGCGGATAAAACACGGTTCCGTACTCAAACAGTAAAGTCCGAATCGTTAACGGCACCGAAACGGCCGGCCGCGCGTTGGCGGGTAAAAAGACGGACCCGCGGACGCCCGGCCGGGATTTCGGAAATTCTTTCGCCTCGGAGTTTCAGGGCTAATTTGGAAGGAGCTAGTTTGAGTCTCGATGGTTTAGGAGGACCGTCCTCATTGGATTACGGGACGTCGTCGTTGGCCCCGCCGTCGCCAGGTGGCGGGCTCAAAGCGCGGGCGGCTCCTTTTCTAGCTGTCCTTCGCAATTATCCGAAAACCCGGTGAAGCTCGACGAGGCCGGGAAAGATGGGCGGCCCTTTGTTTTTTCCCTTCTTCCCGAAAAGCAGCGGCCATTGTTCTGCGGCCTGACCGTTCCCAGGTACGCTGTTTTCCCGCCGGCGGAGATGCGGGTCCAGATAAAAGTTTTGACAAGTGTGCCTCCATCAGGAATGGGATGGAATCGGGGAGCGGAGGATACGGGAAGGGACCAGCAGGAGACGTGGCATGGAAAAGTCCTAGTCTGCGGTCTCAGGACGAGCCGGTATTTTTCTTCGGAGTTGAACGGTTCCTTCAGGCTCGTTATTGACCCGTGTTCGGTCTCTGCTGGTTCGCCGACTATTTTTTAATTGCCGATATCGAAAGATTTTCAGAATCCTTAGAAAATTCGAAGTCCAAGCGGAATCGACTCCCGCTGTCAGGAATTTAACTCGCCATTATTCGCATCCCGTATCAACGATCTCGACCGGGGACTTTAATAATCACCGGCATCTATATACTTTCGTCCATTAACATTCAGATTATGAGTACCGATACGTGACATTATTACTCGCCAAGCGAGACGTGCGCGGGGTGCGTAATGTCTTTAATTATCACGGCCATTTAAGGATCGTAATTAACGGCATGTGTGCACAGGTCGTGTGCTAATAGAATGTCCGGCCATTAAGACGTCTCCGAGGATGGAATTAGGTCCTTGAAAAATGAAATAAAAGAAGGACGGAAAATGAAATTACAGAAAAATCCCACAGCGAGCACAGAGAGCGCGGCGATTTTCCGGAATCGAGAATCGAAATACAAACGGCAAAGGTTCGCATTTCGAGGTAATTCCGACGAAACGATTGCCCATCGCGGGCGATTGACTTACGAAAGGTGGAAGGGAGAATTTTGGGGAGGTTTCCATTTGGCCGATTCGAGGGAGACCGGATGACGCGTTCCACCTCCTTACCGGCCGATACATCCCGCGTCCATTTTTCCTATGTAATTACTCGGAGTAATTTCCCTTCCCCGGCGGGCGTGGGGGGCGAGGGGGCCGTAGTCGTTCAATTAACGGAATACTGTTGTCTTCCCCACCCCCGCGGGGGCACCCCTCGCTTCCCCGCGAAACCCGCGAAATGTTTCACTCGCTCGAGGAGGGTGGGCGAGAGACGCCCCTCCTCTTCTCCCGCCCCTCGCGCCCCTCCGCGCGCCGTCGGTCGCCCCTCCACTGGCGCGCCGCGAGTCAGTGGAGGGGGTCGGCCGCGGAGGCTCATTCGCTCGTCAGCCGCCGTAGCGAGCGGACCTGGACGCGCGACTTCGGCTCTCCCGCGGCGCGCCGCGTGCCTTCGCGCGTCGTCCCTGCGGCCAATTGGAGGCTCGCTCGCCCTGGCCTGGCTCCCGATTGGCGCGATCGGCCGCCGCGACTCCGCTAAGGGCCTTCGTTGGCTTTCGGCCAAAGGTCACGTGACTCTACGCGCGCTTCCGGTTGCGTCATCAAGACCCACCACGAGGGATGTTACGCCGCGGCAGTTGCGCGCCGGACTCGGAGGTGGACGGAGGTGGGACTGAGCGCCGCAAGGCTGGCGCCGGAGCTCGAGGGTGACGATACTTGGTGCTCCGACCTCTACTGGCTCCTCTCGACTGCGAGAAATTTTAAGGTTAGGCCCCTTAGGGCCCACGTGCTCCTCCGAGATATCGGTGCCCGGGAAGTGCGGTGCTTCGTGAGTGCTGTGATCGTTCGCGGAGGGTACGCTCCGATCAAGTGGACCTCGTCTGGCTGCTCCGGTACCAGGAGTGCTGGCGTCCCAATTGCCCCTGTGGAAGAGCTCGGGACGAAACCAGGAAGCGGACCAGACCAATCGAATCGGACCGGAATTTCCAGATATATCTTCCTTGCAACGCTGAATTTTTCACCCTGTGATGCGCCGCGTTCCTGTTTCTACGCAGAATTGAAGGGATGTTCAAACCGGAGTGAGTGATTATTTAGTGGTGCCGAGGATTCCTGAAAACGGAAGAAAAAGACTCAAAACCTGCCTACGCATGCCGGGGCTTTCGGTGAGTTTGCGAGTCTTATTGTTTATAGGCTGAGGGGCCTCGGTGCCCTTCGCTTGTTGACTATTGACTCCCCAGCATTCCAACGAGTCTCGAAAGCCGATCGACCTACGTTCTAGAATGTTTCCAAAACTACGCATATCAGAGAATTCTAAAATTGCATAGAAGGGAACCGGCGGATGGAATTTCTGGTTCATTATCTAATTACCTGTGAATTAACGCGTAGACATTTTCCGCGCTATCGTTGGACTGCTTTCGCTGTTTGTCCGTCGCTGGGAAACACCGTCTCTCTCTTGGGTGACGCGAAACTTGTCTAATAAACTCTCGCTTTTCCGGGATCGAAACCCCGCAGGGGTTTACGTACTTTCGAGCCTTCCCGGAAAATCAACCTCGAAAATATTTCCTGGTTCCTGGTTTCCCTCTGAATCGGGGAAACTAGGCCGCAGAGTCTTTACTTAATGTCTAGTATATTCTGTCGGTAACGCTCAGTTCTTATTATTAGTAAGGAATATTTTCTGTAATGTTATCGCAAAAATAAATGATTTCCTGTGTTCTCATTAATTTTCCCCAATCTGTGCGCTATTCCGATGTTAGTTAGTAAGGCCCCGACGAGAAAAGAGTGTTACCGGCAAAAAATAAAAATTCCTCGAAGAGGTGTCGGGTTTCCCGCGACTGTTTTTGTTTGTTGTGCTTGATAAGCTTTCTGACCCGTTTCCTTTCGGAATGCTAGGCGTTCCGTATATATTCCGTCGGTAATGTTAAAGTCTTAGCACGGAAGGAATATTCCCGGCGAAAGTATGAAAAGTAGGCAAAATAAAAATTAAATCGAGGCTCCCCTCGATTTATTGAATTTTCCTTGTTTTGGAAAATTTCACTGATTCAACCAGATGTGTGTTTTTTTTTTTTTAAATTGTAATTCCGCGGCGTTTCCTCGACATTCGGCATGTCGCGGGTTTCCTAGGCGAAAAACCAGGGGGCACGTATTTCCACGCAGGCGCCACGTGGTCCCGCGTGGGTCCACGTGGAGTGGCATACCAGGTGAAGCTCGGTTTCCCGGAAGTCGTCCTAGGGAACCGAGAGGAAGTCGCGGGAAATGATCAATGCGGAATCCGCGAGGATTTCTTCGGCGGATAGTCGCGGATATCGCGAGACGCGGCTTGGGACTTTGCCAGGATACGATGATCTTCCTCGATTCCCAACAATACGCGTCCCCTGGGTGTCCCTCTGGATGTTTACGTGTCTTTCCTATCCGGTTAACGCTCTGAAAATACGTTTCGAAATTTTATGACGTTAATTGCAAAACGTCGAAGACGGGTCGGCGAAATGTCGAGAATTTCCCTTTCGATCGCCCCGGGGAGGGTGGAGGGTCGACGGGGGCTTCTCGTAACGCGTCTGATCACGAAACGTCGATTTTCACTGTAAAGGGAATTCTTAATACGATTGAGTTGTGAATAGGATCAAAGTAAGTTCGTGCAGTGAATGTAAGCAGGAACCGATCGGCTGGGGACTCTCGCGACGTGTCCGATCGTGACAGGTCGATATCCACTTCTGGAGTCGGCCTTCCAGGATTGCTCGAGTTATGTGAAATATTGACGCCTCGGGTTTCGGAAGAAGAAAAAAAAAAGAAATAGAAGTCTAACGACGTTAGGGAGGGATATACGTGTGCGCGGAAATAGAGATGCCTAAATAAATCTGCATGTTAGAACTTTTGCTCGGTTTATTCGAGGGACGTCTGATCGTGACAGGTCGATATCCACTTCTGGCCGCCGAGTTTCCAAGATTACTCCGGTTGGGTGAATTGTTAATGCCTCGATTAAAATAATAAAAAAAAAAAGGGCACTAATACTAGAAGGAGATGTTCGCGCGATCGAGCGAAAAATTGCAAATTTCAATAAAACATGCCTTAATAGAGAAATTCCGAGATTACTTGCGCAATGTGAAATATCGCTGTCGGGTCGTGAAAAAAAAAAAGAAAAAGCTTAATTACATTACTGGGAGAGAGCCTAGATACCAAAATGGCAGTTGCTAAACGCGTGGTCAATGTTGAAATCGGCAGAGTCGTTCGATTAAATTCCCGGACTTGTCTGCCCGATTTATATATTTTAATGGGCGATATTAAATATGTATTCGTGATATCGTGAAAATATGGCGGCTTGGGGTTCGTTCCTTTCCTCATTTATAAAATGGCGAAAAATCGTCTTCCAACCCTGGAGGGTCCATCTCGCGCTAGATCGACGTCGATTGGCATCGTCATCGGCGGAGATCGTCCCCTGGGTCTCGGGGTCGGAGGTCGCGGCCGGTCTTTAAATCATTCGGGTCCGGGTCTCGGGCCGAAGTCTATTCGATTTGGCGATGTCTCGTGCAGGTGAACTGCCCCCTCTCTCCTCCTCTATCTGGCCGGGACCCGGTGGTGGCGTCGTGACAGGTACCAGTCCCGTTTACGAGGGGCCCGTGCCCCCCGCGTCCCCTCGCTGCTCGTCCACTCGTCCACTCGGAGATATATCGAGACATCGGACATTCTTGCCGGTCCTGGGACCGTTTCACCATGGGAAATTTATCGCTTTACGAGCGCAAGAACCCGAGTAACGCCGGACAACGGTTTTCGCGCGCCATCGCCGATCCGCTATCGCCCGCCGGGGCCATCTTCGGCCTACCCAAAGAACTTCCGGTTTTTGCCCCCGGATGAAAAACCTACCCCGGGGGGAAACGACCCATCGCTAGCGCGGGGAAGGTTTTGCCCCTCGGTGGTACCTGGAAACCGTCTTCGACGGGCCATCGAGGCTCCTTTACGATTTGTTTCCATTTCCTTACTCCCCGTATTGCTGGTGCGACTTGTCATCTCTTCTTCCGTTCTTTTTTTTTTTTCCCCATGTGCGATCGTTTTTAATTATTTCCATCTTTATTTCTGTCGATCGGAGACTGTTTCACCGCTTTTCGAAAGCATCCTTGCACCGTTAATCCGCACCTTAAGGCGAGCAAATCGCGTCGCCAGAAGTAGAGCCGAGCAACGGGTTCCGCGCGCCATTGACTTCGGAGAGCGACATCTTCTACGCACGTAGGATGGAAAAGAAATTTCGTGGCTTTTTTACCCGTCGAGTAGAAAATCCTTTCGCGAACCGGACGAAGAAGCTCGATCGCGACGTCGCTCACCGGTCGTGTATTTTCGAATAGTCGTGGAAATTTATAAGTCTCGTAGAAATGGATAAATCTACCCCGAAGTGCACGGCACCCTTGCTGCAAGAGTAAAAAATTCGCGAATTGGCAAATTCTCGCGTCGACATTTGCACGGTACTTGAAAATTAATTACAACGAAACAGTACGTCAATTCCCCCCGATCCCTTATCGGAGGTAAATCGTCGAAGTAATTGAAGAGTCCCCTCCCCCGTGGGAGTCAAACTAGGGCAGACATTTTTTTTCCCCTCGTCGCCCGGGGGTGGTAGCCGGGGGTGGCGAAAACAGGACGGCACTTAACTTTTAATTAATATTATATAGCTAATTAGCCCGGTGGGTTCTGTATATTCATTTAATTTTCAATCCCGTGGTATAATTCTTGGAGCGGGTCTGCTTTTTAATTAACCAGGCCCTCGTAACTTTCATTGTTAGGTCGAGACTCGCCGGTAATTATACGATTACCTTCTTCTCCCTTTTTCGTTTTCCTCCTCGTTCTCGTACTTTTTCCTTTTTGCCTCCCTCCCTCCACCTTTCCCCACGCGCAATCGCGTGGCGCGCATTTTCCCGCGGCGATATTTAATTTTTCCCAGCGAGATTTCCTTTCCCGGAAATTAGTTTACGGCTAATTGGTCACGTGGTTAATTGACAATCCTCGATTATCGGGGCCCGATTTTCCTGAGTTATTTCTATAATGGAGCATCTCCGAGGTGCGTAATTTCCAGGGGAATCGGAGTCGGGAGGGCACGTTTAAATTTTAATTAACATGACATCGCTGACGAGCTCGACTTTGCATTCGTGTAAATTACAAAGCAGCGGGACAATTTTTAATTTTGTTACCTTCCTGTGATTCACGCTACTAATTAAATTACCCATACCTTCGGGTACGCTCCGAGGGGTGAGACTTGAGTGCATTAACATTGCAAGAATAACGTAATAATTTTTTGCGTATAAATAGAACTACGCTGTAAATACAAATTAATTAATAAGATATGAATTTCTTAATCGTTATAATTTACGTTGTAAAGTCATAATCGGGGCGTCCGGTTTTACAGTCGAAACGAGCGGCTGTAAATTAAAGTAAGATGGAATTTGCCCACCCCTTCGCGTGCAGGGGGGAAAAACAGGGCGACACTTAACTTTTAATTAATATTATATAGCTAATTAGCCCCTCCCCCAGGGTCGAGAGGGGGAAGACGCGGGGCGGCGGGGTTTTGTATATTAATTTAATTTTCAATCTCACGGGGGGGTAATTCTTGGCACAACGTTAGTTTTAATCAACCCGACCCCCCCCGTCCCCCTCTGCCCCGTCTCTCTATCTCTTTCTCTCTTAGCTCGCCGCCCATAGGGTGGGAGGAGGAGGGCGGAAAGGGGGTGGCGGGGGCGGTATACGCGAGTAATAAAAACCAGCAATAAAAACCGCCCCTTAGGGCCACCCTCGGTTCTCCATATACCGACCCCCCTGTGTCCCACCCCCCAACCTGGTCGGGATTAACTTTAATCAAATATTTACATTTTAATTCGCCGCCCGTATTTCCGCCCGGTATAAACAGGACCGCCCGGCGATATGCTCGTCTCTTTCTATCCCTTTTTAATCGGCCTCTCCCTCCCTTTCTCTCCTTCTCATCCCTCGTTTACGCTCCTCGTTGGTTAATTGCAAACTGCCAATTTTTTTCCGCGGAGGGCCGCACGCGAGGGTGGAGGCGCCGATAAGGGTTATCAATCGACCGGAGTCGTAGGTGAAAAGTGGCGGAACGGCATAACGGCGGGAAATTCGCGAGCGGTCGATGCGAGGGGTTCCGAAAATCTTGGCGGGGCCGGCTCTCGGACTATTA